ATGCCGAGGATTTTTTCTTTTTGACATAAATGATAACCATATTTAAACCTTGAAGAACACATAACAAAACAAGCTAGAAGACTTCCATGGCCTCTTGATTGCTTGGATTTTCTGGGTTTGCAGGTAATGATCCTAACTTACTTCTAGAGCCCCTCGCCTTGAAGTATGGCCTCTTGGTTGCTTGGAACAAGGGTTATAAACACATCCTTTGTAACTCAGACTCCATAATTTTTTTTCGGCTGATTAAAAATTATGACATTAATTTTCATCATTATGGATATTTGTTCTCTCCTCTCTAGGGAATGAGAAGTTGAGCTTAGTTGTACTCTTAAGAGAAGACAATTGTTTTGTGGATCTTCTTGCCAAATTAGGAGTTAAACATCGGAGGGAGCTTCATATTTAGTTAAAAATCATCAATTTTTTTTTAAAAACATCTAAGTGATAACAAGAAGGTCTTAGAAAAAAAAAAATAGTCTAATCAGATTTTAACTTGGTTATATAATGAATTTATGCCTAATTTTCTTTAGAAAAATAATCAGCTCAAAAGAGTGTCACTAACACTTTGAAACCTGTACCCACAGCAGAGAATGGCGACGGAGCTAGTGAGTTTCTAAATAGAAAAGCCTTCTTTACAGAAAAAAAGAGGGTAGTTTTACAGGTATTCCAACTTTGATTTCTTGGAATCAAAGAAATCAAAGTTGGATACCTATCTTGCCACCATTGAGAGAAACGGACATATTTTCGACAACGATTCATGAGTATCAAACCCTAGAACTGCCCAACTAGGCCTCACAGAGCCTTAAAAAACGAAATTCTTGTGATGGACATGGCATTATACAAGCAATGCATGTGATCAAAGGAAGATGAAAGACAATAATTCTTTAATCAACTGTCACCAATCGTCCCAAAAAGAAAAAGGAAACTTGGAAACATCTGATTGCAAGAAAAAAATGCAGATTTTGAAAAAAACTGTGGTTTCAGCAGAATTTAACCAATAATATGAGCTTTGAAATTGACTATTCCAGCTAAACAAGTACTTGTGTATTTGATCCAGGGAACAGACTACTTCAAGAGAACAAGCACTGATGGAACACTACCAAACATATACGACAGAGGTGCTAAAACAACGAATCAAAGGAAACAAAACAAAGAGCTGTGCACTCCATGTCAGTTTGCGGAATTATCTGCTATATAATTTAAATCCACACAACCTTACAACTATTTATCATTTTCAATTCTTCACCTCCAGCAATTTAGCATGGCAAGAATCTATACGAAAGCAACGGATAAACTAGCACTTAGCAACCAAACAAAGACTTCACCAATAACATTCACCTCTACATTCCATTGATTTCAAGAATCATATCCTTCCTCTAGTTATATTTCAATTTCACAGCAAAAAACTCTAAGTCCTCGTATCAAAAAACTAAAAAAGAAATAGCAAAATTAACCGTGCATCAAATTAGCATGTATTTCAAAGCACTATACAAATCCACAAAGACCTACCTCAGTGTACCCTGCTAACGACACCATAAAAAAAATACCATACTCTCCTTTCTCCGAATCTCAATACAAATTACATTAAAAACACTGCTCGTCATCAAGAACCCACAATCCCTCCGCTCAGGAATAAACTTTACATCGCCTAGCACCACCAGTCAAGTTCCCAGATCCACTATTCCCGGAAAACCCAACCGCCAAATCATCACAAAAAACCCTAAGCAACCTTCTTCTTGCCCTAAACCCACCAACCCTATACATCGCATCAGCAACAATCTTCAAATTAAAACTCACCAATCCACGCCCTTTATCCCCATTAATCTGATTCACCGCCCGCCCCGCAATATAAGAACCCACCGCCCCATATTCCGCATTGATATCAGTAACATTCCTTTTGGCCTGTTTGAACGGAGGAATCCTCGTCTGGGACAAAAACTCAGATTTATAAGAAATCGAACTCTGTATATCATCGTACGAGAGTTTCAACTTGTTCGGATTATAAACCTGAAACCTGGCGTTCCAGGTACCAGTCACACTGGAGGAAGAAGAGGATACATTGAAGCCGGAGACGGAGAGGGAAGTGACGCGGAATTCGGGGAGGTGGGGTCGGATAACAAGCCAGATAATGAAGAGAATAGTGAAGAAAATGACCGTAACGATGATTAGAACAGCGATTAAGCGGCGGAGGAGGGTGGCGCGTTGGTTAGGGTAGGTTTGGTTGGTGTTGTAGTAGTAAGGGTTAGTGGGTTGTGGTGGTGGGGCTTGGTAAGGATAGGCGGTGCCGGGTGGCGGCGGTGGGTAGTGGGTGCCGTTTGGGACAAAAGGGTAGCCCGTCGCGGGTCTAGAAGGATCCGATGATGCCATCTTGTTCGGATTTTTTTAGATTTTTGTAGTCTAAAGAGAGTCTATCTGTTTCTAAGCTATGTTTGGAATCTCGCCTCTTTGATCGAGAGAGAGAGAGATATTTTTATGTATTTGCGTTTTGTGGGATGATAGTGACGGGCTGGGCTGATATTTATATCAGGAGGATTAGAGGATTGGTTTTAGGTGCTTAATAACTCATTATAATAAACAAATTATTTGCTCAACATTACTGAAAAAAATGACCTATGGCTTCCTTGTCCATCCTAACATCTCTTCAATCCGGCCTATCATCAACTGCGACTTTCAACCAAATTCCATGAAATGATAAATTCAACCTTTTAAATTGATTGTGTCATGAAAATTTAGAATATAAAATAAATAATTCGTAAATTTATAAGATTAATCATCTCCTTCAAGCTTTTTATAGTTTTTAACATTATTCATCAAGGCTGAAAATCAATTGAAATTAGCGGAGAACACAATCAATTTTGATGATAAAATAGCACTCATATTCTTGCTAGATTTGTTTTTTCTTAAAAAAAGAACTTTCAAAATAGATTGAATATATATTTCATGCTAAAAACTAATTCAAAATTAATAATAAAAATAAAAATAAATAGTATTTGTTGTTTTACCTTAAAATAAATTTTATATTTAAAAGCATTATGCGTCAACCAACCCAAAATATATAAACTATAATTATTAGGATCCTTACAATCATTTATCAAATAACACAATTTTATTTTTGCTCTCCTACTATTTTTCTCTTGTAGATGTTTTTCGGATTAGAAAGTCAAGATATTTAGCATATCATCTACTATTATGTCATCAACACTAATATCTTATTAAGATCAACTAATGTTAAAATTGTCTAAATCCTTCTTATCTCATCAACTTTCAAATAATGTTTATATATCCTTGTCAAAGTATCTTTCATCTTTCTTATTAGCTCATTTATTTTGTCAGTATATGTAATTAAAAATAGAATTTTATATATTTTAGATCTAAGATAATAGCTATATATAATTAAATATTTTTTGATAATCTTGATTTCTCTAATATTTGTAGGAGATGATATCTTAGCAAAATATATTTAAAAATGATAAAAAAAATCATCATTTAGTTTTATAGTAACTAAAAAATATAATTGGCCTTCAAAGGTTCTAAATAAGGAACTGATAATGTTAAGAGAAAATTATAATCATCATAAAATATCTTATCTAAAGTAAACTGGATGTATTTTTTTTTAAAATAAATTTACCTATTGTGCATCCATGTTATGAGTTTACTAAAGTTCAAGGCAATAATTTAAGACCTGAGTTTAGTAATAAGGTTCTATCCTCATTTTATGAATATAGGCTTTAGATTCGATTAGGCTTTGACTTATTTTTTACTGTCATATTCAAAGTTATTAATTAGGCTCTGGTATCTTCTTTAATTATGTTCAAAATAGACCCCTGTAGACAACCATTCACCCTTAGTATGCTTATAAAGGATTGTGTTAATTCAGGTTAAATTCACTAGACATGTCAAAATAATAAAATCATAAAACAAGACTTACGCACATTAACTTGCTTACCTATTAATGTGATATTTGAGAAAAATACTTTATTAAGATTTACAATTACTTGGTTGGTTTTGAGTTAAAAAAAATACAAAACAATGAAAATCGCATGAATACGAAACAAAAAAAGGAGACAATGATATTTACATGGTGATGATAAATGAAATAACTATATAAATATTTTATATAATGTACATACCTCCATAAATATGTTTATAAATATCCTAGATATTTATCTTAAAAAAATCTATATAAATAGAGCTTCATCTCTATAGATAAAAGGTTTGTCAGAGCTCATATCTAGACTTTATCTCTCTAGACAATATATGTCTAAAAAAAATATAAGTTTGATACAAGATTTAAACAAGGTTTAAGAAACATTAAAGCCTAAAGAATATTTATTCTCCATATCACTTACACTATACTAACTTAAGCTTCAAAGTGTTTTTCTTGTAAATGTCATCAAGCCCACCAAGTCCCCCGAGTCTAATTTTATCAGCCCATGAAAAATGTCCCCAATCTTTCCATTGAGAATTTTTTCCAGCCTTGCCAATTGGTGTCGTCTATAGAAATTGATTGAAAAGCCAATTTATTCTTGTTTCTAAAAAGCTCTTTCCATTGCTCATGAAACTATACTAGCTTCTATATCTATTGTTATACCAACAACTAAGCCATTAATTATGCCTAAGCTATGCTAGAGGTTCTGCCCAAGGCTATACTAGCAGCTATACGCTGCTACACCCACAAAGACACCCATGACTATACCTATGATTACACCTACAATACTTAGATTGTTTATGTGGCCCACTCAAATCAATGTTGATGATCTTTTTTAGTGTCGTTAGATTTATTTTGTCAAGATTTTTTTAACAATACGAGTGGTATCATCACCTGAATTTCAATATATTTCCAGAGTCTTTCTCTTCTTTATTTTTCTTTCTCCTCTCTTTCTATCAAATCTCATGTTTAGTAATTTTACAATTTAAGAGAATTCACATATGATACTTGCAATTACCAAATTGTATCACCAATTACTTTTAAAATTATAATACTTTCCTAAATATTTTTAAAATTATTTGAAATAACATGTTTAAAATTATTCATCAAAGTTGAACAACAACTAACATGTTTGAAATTATACGAAATAAATGATTAAGCATGTTAGGGGTTTGAAAAAACCTTCAAGAAGCTACTAGAAGTAACCATAATACTATTGGAAACAGATTGGGCAGGGATGACACGTGGCTATCACGCGGCTATGTGTCTGGTTGGATCGGAGAGTAGCAGCAACACCTGTATCTCGCGCGCGGTAGATTGAACCTGCAAAAGAAGAAATAGAATCGAATGGTGAAGAAAGGTTGTGATTTCTGTGGATCTTATGAATGACAGAAAATATCACCCTACAAATTGTATTTGATGTTGGAGAGGGATACAAGTAAAATAAAACAAAAAAAAACTTTGTACTTGAAGAAACGGGCAAGCTAAGTAATTTGTTAGTTGGAGCACATGTCCGGTGCAATTTCTCTAGCTTGATTTGGAGATGCGATTCCAGCCTACTATTGTGCAGGGATTGATTTGATACGATTCCGGCCTACTATTGTGCAGGGTTGATTTGATGCGATTCCTGCCTTCCATTGTGTAGGGATTAATTTGGGATGCGATTCCGGTCGGCCTCCTATTATGCAGGGATTGATTTGGAGATGCGATTCCAGCCTACCGTTGTGCGAGGATTGATTTGGTGAAAACCCTTCGTATAGCCCCAAAGAAAAACATGGAGCGATTGATGATATAACTTTGAGGACGAGGAGGTCATGAGATTGTAAATAGAGAAATTGATAGATTTGCTATAATTTCAGAGTATGGTGTTTAGGGGCGGAGCCAAAATGATTTAGTTAGGGGTCAAATTAAAAAGATTTTCTTGGTATAAACTGTTAGATGGTTGGGAAAAAAATAATTACTTGGGGGGTCTCTGCCACTAATGGTGTTTGACTTACGAGTTTGACAAAACATATGCAAAACGCATGAAGAACATTGTCAAGGAAGATAATTTAATATGAATTTGATAGATTCTCATCTCAATCAGCACAAATGGGTAGCTTTTTAGACCATCTTATTAGATAGACAATGAAGGGATGATAAATGGTATCAAACTCAACTTAAAAGTCGACTCTCTCTCTCTCTCTCTATATATATATATATATATATATATATAATCTAATAAATATAGTATGGATATCTAAATGTTTTGTCTAATAAATAACAGATAGGACATGAATATAATAGAAACTTAACTTAGTGGGAAACCATTATCATTCCTCAAAATTATTTATGATTGTATTTGTTTTTTTATATATATATATATATAATAAGGGGTGTTTGGGTCAATTTACGTGCACTATGACTAATATCCAGATCCACTGAACACCTTGTAAGTCCAATAAACATGTAAAACATCACAGGAATGACAAACATGCATATAAAAAGTCAAACCCGAGTGCTGGAGGAAGGAAATAAGTCCCTCCTATAACCGTTAGGCCACAACTTCAAGTGTATGATTAGCAAGAGTTTTTTTTATATATATATATTTGCTTATCAAGTATTATAATCAATGTTATTAAACTTAATCTGATTCAACAGCTAAACTTGGTAACCCATCGACCTCAGACATGGTCTAAGCAGGATTTCAAATTAAACTACGGGAAAATTGATGGTGCCAAATTTGATAGATCTAGCAAGTCAACTAGTAACAGGTTCAACCCTATTAAAATTTAGTTTGACTTAAAAAAATTATATAAAATGTAATGTTTTTTTTTTTTTTTTAAAACGTCATTTTAAACTTACTCAAGTTAAGTCATCTAACCCATAAAGCTAGCCATATTAATAGTCCTTTTGGTTTATAGCACAGTAACAAAAAAATAATAAAATAACATAATGCAAAAAATATTTAGAAAATAACATAATTTAAAGAGTACAAATAACATTTTTGATTCGCGAGACTCAAATGTCATATCTGAACTCTCTCAAATTATAAAATTGCTAGACACAAGATTCGATAAAGAGAGAGGAGAGACAAAAAAAAGAGTAAAAACTCTAGAGGTGCATTGAAATTTTGATAATGACACTCTACCAATATCATTGAAAAACTCTCAGGGAAGGTCACCAACGGTGACATGAGTGGGTCACATAAGCGATCTAGAGACAACTCATCATTGAAGTTTCAATGTGTGTCTAAGATCTATTTTTTTTTCTTTCTTTATTCTCTCTCTTTGTTCTTGTAATTTGTGAAAAAATAGGAGAGAAAAAAAAAGAGATGACCCTAGAAGGACACTGAAATTCTGATGACGACATCACCAATAACGTTGAAAAATTCTAGATAAGACAAATCAAATACTACTAAATAAAGTTACAAATGGTGAATAGAGTGAACTATTTATAACATTTTCGATTTACGAGACTCAAATGTCATATCTGAACTCTCTCAAATTATAAAATTGCTAGACACAAGATTCGATAAAGAGAGGAGAGACAAAAAAAAAAGTAAAAACTCTAGAGGTGCATCGAAATTTTGATAATGACACTCTACCAATATCATTGAAAAACTCTCAGGGAAGGTCACCAACGTTGACATGAGTGGGTCACATAAGCGATCTAGAGACAACTCATCATTGAAGTTTTAATGTGTGTCTAAGATCTATTTTTTTTCTTTCTTTATTCTCTCTCTTTGTTCTTGTAATTTGTGAAAAAATAAGAGAGAAAAAAAAAGATGACCCTAGAAGGACACTTGAAATTCTGATGACGACATCACCAATAACATTGAAAAATTCTAGATAAGACAAATCAAATACTACTAAATAAAGTTACAAATGGTGAATAGAGTGAACTATTTAAGTCATTCAAAAGTGTTGGGGTTTATTTATCTTTGGGTTTCTTATGTGACTTATTTTGTTGATGATTTTTTATGTCGTTAGATTTTTCTTATCAAAATCTTTTTAAATATACTAATATATAATCATT